AGCTAAACAAATCATGCTTTGCAATACACGATCCAAGCTACCACTTTATCTTCCGTATTTGTTGGACCAACACCTTCATTTGAAGGCAACAACTCAGGTCACCTGACCGCCAAAACAGCCTCCTTGGACTGGCTCTGCTCAGAGTAAATGAAATACTAATTGTATTTATTTATTAAGAGTATGCATTATAACTTCCAAAATATGGGTTTTGTTCGACGCCCTTATAAAAAAAAACAATATTGTCCCTTCAATTCTCGAGTTAAAGAGACCTCTCTAGAACTATACCATAACTTTGACCTGAGTCTTTTGATAGTGACCTGCGAAAAGCAAAGCAGAGAGTGATTGATTGAAGTTTCAAAAGTATTAAACTTTCCTAAATCCTAATACACATCTGCAAACTAGGGATGATTCCACATGCATCAGCGACTGTATGTCAATGAGACAGAGCAGATATGGTAGGACAATCATTCTAATACCACAAATGATTCAATTTCTGTGTTCAAAAACAAACTCTTGATTTTATTTAGACACTAGACCAGCAGTTTCAAAAATTTGAATCAACTAATGTTTGAATGAACTCAATCAAACGAGATTGATGAAGTTATACTCACAATCTTTCCAGAGAAGCAATGTTTCCAATCTCCTTGCGGATTGAACCAGTTAACCGGTTTCTTAAAAGTGTGCTGCATGCATTTCCAGAAACAAAATCAAGCAGAATATATAAAAATTTGTACATAAGACATATTACTATGCACATTTTTGTTTGCTTACAGGTTGACAAGAGGCAAGGCTCCCTAGTTAGGAAATTTCTGGCGAGATTACTGCAAAAGGTGAGTAAAACCTGAGTTAGTTTTAGACAGAGAACTAGAGATTGTTTGCGCTACGCGCAGATTTGTTCTATATTTTTTGATAATTTAAAAAAAATATATATATGAAACTACTAAGTTTGTTTTTTTTAATTAAATTCTATACATAAATGTTGTTGAGATTTTTTTATTTTATGTTTTTGTTTGGTATATTTTTTTCTGTATGTTTTAAAGTAGAATTAATTTATTTTTTGGGGTTCAATGCGTGTTTGATATTTAGTGTTTTTTATATGTAATGTCTGTCTTTAATTTGGTCATTGTATTATTTTTTGTTGGTAATTTTGCTTTTGTCAATAATTTTATTTATATTATTCTAAATGGTATTATTTTGTAGATATAGGGATAATTTTATTAAATTGTTGCATACATTTTGTATATATGTTTTAAAAGGAAGACTCATGTTGCACTACCTCAGTCTTATAGTCGTTCAGCCAGCAACGAACAATAGTTAAAACAATATCTAAATCCTAATTGCACTTCGTTCAATATAGGACAGAACTAAAAATCAATATAATTCGACTATATTTGTGAGAATATTCTATCAGACAATGGTCTTCTATCCAAATCGAATCAGAGGCATGCAGTATATATACTGAGGAATCAAACGCCTAATTTTACATTAGTAGGTCAATTAGTAAGCAAGAACATATCACTAGGGTTTGTATGTAAAAGCCTAAGTCTAAGAAGATATATATGCACAAAAATTCATTCAAAAGATTTGATGTTCTGATTGCTTGATAATTGAGAGCCCCAAACCTCAAGTCGTTCAGTTGAGTGTTTCTACAACCTTCATCTCGATCTACCACCAACTCAACCACTTGATTTGTCACTGTCTTCTCGCCCCATTTTGTAATGCCTGGTTGTGGTAATGGTTCCTCAATCCTTCGTTCATTCCATCTTAAGTATATCACAAACAGAACAATTAATAGAAGTGAGCATATTAATATATCACAAACAGACCACATAAAACCATTCAAAGAAACAGATTTGCGGTGATGCGAGTGAGCATATTAATAGAAGTAATTACCACACGGATTGGAGCTAAAGTCAGAGGTGAAATCAGGAGGAATATCAATGAATCTTCAAGAGACAAACCTCTGGTCCCACCTTCATCAACACAAACATTTGGAAGACGTCACAAAAATAGAAATCAAATGAACATCTTCAAATTTTGATACCAAGAATCGAATATTAATGTTTCAACCCTTATCGACGATATTAAGCAATTGAGCGACAGTTCCAACATCAGCGGCTAAGCAGAGATTGGTTTCTTTCTTCAAGACAGTCTTAAACAGCTTCTTCTCTGCTCAATTTCGGCAATATCTGCCCCCAAAATCCTATGTTTAGGCAGCAAGCAAATATCATCACACTCGAACCTGAGATATTGAATATCAAAAGAAGCCATCGACCTGACCTCTCTAATTCCAGAATTTTTTTGCGAAACATGTGCAACAACTTGCGTACTCTCACCGATGATTTTTCATTCATTGTTGAATTTTGGTAGAATTATAAGCATTGGACTTGAAGATCCTTAATTTTAAAAAGAAGGTAGTGCTCCTAAATCCCGCTTAAGATTCATTTTTATTCCAACTTTATGTCTTTGAGAACATTGATCATAATGAAAACGAATATTCTCTTAAGACATATAATGAGTAAGAAGAATCAATAATTACTCGTACTTTATCCTTGATGAGTCCACCACGTCGACAACAGATTTCCTCCTTCATTGCAGTCGTTTTTGAACACTTGTGAGATTCAACAGAAATTGATCAAAGAGATTCGAGAAAAGAGTTTTATATGTAATGAGAAGTTGAATAGTACATTAATGTTATCAATTGAGACCACAACAAACCATGAATGAAATGATATCTTGATATATAAGCTCGTGGTAATCTAAATATCTTAATAGTACCTAGGTTATCACATAGGAGCTATGGCGAGTAAATGAGACATTCTTGCTTCTCCATATGTTTGTTGAAGACTCAAGAGTGCTGCCTTAAAAAAATGGAAATGATTCATGAGAGGCTGAATATCGCAGACAAAATATACATAGACTCACATATTCATATTTACATGCGTAAATGCACATAGAAAAAAACCATACCTGAAGAGAAAATTAATGAAAGCTTGTTCAAGTAAAAGAGATGTCCTTACATTCGCCACAAAAAAATAGTTGTTTATCAATTAGAAAATACTGTCTTATAGGCAGTGGCATATAAAAGAGAGTTGGGTTCCTCTTATTCTTCTACCTCTATAGCATGAGGGGTATCTAACAGCTGAGCCAGATAGATGACTATCTCATCTCTCAACACATGATATTTTTTTCATCCTCTGATTACATAGCTGAGATGCGTAACTATTAAATCAGGAGTAAAAGAAACATGTTTTGTGCTCAACCATCTTCAAGTTGGTGTCCTGCCAATAATACTTTTGGCCTGCAATTCCAATACGTGTATAGATCACTCGGAACATATTAAATACCCATCAAAATCAAAAGAAGAGTACGACCTGCATTTTTCTTTTGCTTTTCCTCATAGATGCTAAACACTCGCTTGAGAACATGTCTTGTTGTCTCGTTTCTGTCTCTCGCTTATGCAGTGACCCTTACCGAAAGATCTCTTGCGTTCAGCTCTGCTTCTGATTTGGTCAGTGTCTATATAAAGCCTTGTTGCGTGATGATGCTCCTCAAATTGTAGTGATGCATGTACATAAGAAAAAAAGGATTTCATTACATAGATTAGACACAGATTTTGGAAGTGACAATCGTATTTAGAGATAAAGTGTGATAAACAAACTGGATCAATCTAGAGATTAAGTTGAGTTGATGGGTGTTAAAAATGAGTGATCGGGAAGGCATGGGAGATGAGAAGAGGTTGAAACTGAAGAGGTAGCGGGGAGGAGACTGGTTCTAAAGTAGTACGTTTCATATGAGTACTGAGGAGGAGAAGGGGAAGAAGTGAGATTAATTGTAATAGAATGACGTAGAGTTTCTATCAATTGGTTAATGAAAATCATTTTCACGAGAGGAGAAGCAGATGACGTGGCGTTTTTCATGAAAGTTTTAAAAAGCTGATGTGGATAGGCTAAGAAGGCCTAAATAGCTCCTTTTATATAGTATAGATAGATTGGTAGAAAATAAATTTATATACTAGTTGTGTTTGTGTTTCACTTATAGTTCTTGCAGTAAAGGAATACCAGCAAATTCTTTTGGAAGAGACCTTTGAAGATCCCGTGACTTGATAATTTTGTGTAGGGTTCAAGAATCAAATTAAATTTATTACACATTTGTGAGTTTTGGTTACTATATCTATCGCGTAAATAAGAATGACACTTACATGCTTGTAACATGACACACGGTACCATTGAGTAAAGAGCAGTCAGTTGTCTTTGGAATCTCTACCTGCATTCACGTCAATGTCATGTCGTACAGATCGATGCTAAAATCTCAGTTTGTCTTCTCCAAAATATTCCCAAAGAATGACTATTTGTGGCAGCTTTGATTTGCTTCAAGGAAAATGCTTTGATGTTGAAGTCCAAGCTCTTCAAATGTGAGAGAAAAAGAAAGTTGTAAATTATTATAGGAACATAAACAACATATTCTAAACATACTAAAATGGTTATGAATCAATACATATGAGCAAACTTCAACAAATGACTAACCAAAGAGTTCTCTAGCAAGGCTATTGTTCTCCAAAAAATCCTAAAGGTTAAGAAAAAGGAAACTTAGATGCTCATGACATAGGACATGGAGCACTTTTTGTGGAAAATTTGTATGTTCCTTTTGCATTTCTTCTAGTTTTCTTTGGCATTTTATTAATGATTTTTTGTTTTTTTTTTTGTTTTCAGTTTGAATTCAGTCAGGAGTTTGATTTCAACTTTGATACCTTAACAAGAGAATTTGGGTCTGGTATCAAATGTTTCGTTTGGTTCTTGATCATGAAATATTTCAAAGATAAGACAAATGTACTTACAAGAGTGTTAGGTTAGTGGTTTTTGATCCAAGGTACGATGATATATCTCCCGTAAGATCTAAGTTTCTCAGAACCTTGCGAAAACAAAAACCAAAAATATCAAAACAGCGAGTGAACATTGAAACCATCAAACTTGCTTTTCTAAACTTAATGCAATATAGTCTTACAACGTCTTCAATATTTGCATATTCTTCAGTGGTGGAAATGGAGATCTGGGTCCAGTCATATTGCTGATTTTTCTGAAAAGCATCAAGCAAATAATGAAACGCAGCTCTAGACACAAAACGATGATGAACCTGGCATATATAGGATTGGGGTACATACAGTTCTCTCCTTTTCGTAAGACCAGCAATTGACATTGGTATGGGTCCAACCAAACCACTTGAATGGAGAACCCTGAGTCATACAAACATTCATAAGCACCATATCACTTGAAGACTCATTAAAATGGAGGCAATAAAGGACCAAGAACCAAAAATTTCTTACAGAAATTCAAGTTCTTTCCAGTTCTCGATGAAATCTGGCATAGTTCCTCTAAACTGGTTGTCACTTATACGCCTAAGTACAGAACCAAAAACAAACAAACAAAAGTCAGAATCTCAATGTATATAAGTATACACGATTAGGCACCAATATACAACTTGTTTAGATAAGGATACTAACACTTCTCTCAAGCTGGTCAGTTTCGAAAATGAAGATGGAATTGTCCCCCTGAATTTTTGTGAGCTAAGATAGCTGCCAAAAGCAAACAAGGGATGATCAAAACTTTTCAAAACAAATGTGTTACTCAAACTCTGATAAAGACTCTTACAGTCATCGAAGATTCGATAAACTCCCGATCTCTGGAGGTAATGTCCCAGAAAGCTGATTGTTTTCGACGACACTATAACCGTAAAAACAAAGGTCAGAATTTGCAGTATATCTGAGGAACTAGTTTCTTAAACAGAGAAACATTCTAAATTTCATATGCCAAAAAAGGTTTAAGTTAATTACAAAAAAAGGTCACATAAGCTAGTCTAGGAATCTTAGAGGCGTTATTTCAAAAACAAACTCTTGAAATTTATTTAGACACTAGACCAGCAGTTTCAAAACTTGAATAAACTAATGTCTGAATGAACTCAATCAAACGAGATTGATGAGGTTATACTCAAAGTCTTTCCAGAGAAGCAATGTTTCCAATTTCTTTGGGGATTGAACCAGTTAATCGGTTTCTTGAAAGTGTGCTGCATTTCAAGAAACAAAATCAAGAAGAATATATATAAATTAATGTGTACACAGACATGTTACTTTGCACATTTTTTGTTTACTTACAGGTAGACAAGAGGCAAGGCTCCCTATTCTGGAGGTATTGAACCAGTTAGGAAATTTCTGGCGAGATTACTGCAAAATGAGAATAAACCCTGAGTTAGTTTTTGACTGAGAAGCAGAGAATTGGTAGAAAAAAATTATATAGTAGTTGTGATTGTGTTTTGCTAACAGCTCTTGCAGGAAAGGAAGGCCAGCAAACTCTTTTGGAAGAGACCCTTAATTGAAGATCATGTGTCTTGATAAGTCTGTATCGGGTTCAAGAAAGAATCAAATTACATTTGCTAATCATTTGTGTGTTTCAGTTACTATACCTACCGTGTAAAAAAGAATGACACGTACATGCTTGTGACATGACACACCGTGCCGTTGAGGAATGAGCAGTTGCAAGTCAAGGAGTCTTCAGAACCGTTAGGTGCATTTGGGTTTCTCCATCTACCTCCGGTCGATGCCATGTCGCACATATCAATGCTAAAATCCCAAATTTGTCTTCTCCAGCGTCTTTCCAATGACTCTTAGTGCCTCCACTGTGAAAATGAACGAGAGCAAAGATAAGTCATTATCTTGAGATTTAAGATTAGAAAACTTATACACTTAACCCTCTATAATTAAATACTAGGTAAATTAATAATCACTATAAATAGCTAATTCAATTTACAATTTAAAACTATTGCGATTGTAAGTGCGATTGCTAAGATCAATAATCATAATTTTAAGTTTTTGTATACAATTGTACAAGCAGATTCGTTAAAATTCTTAAATATAACATTATTTGAATGAAAATTTAAGAAGAATATGAATGAAAAACAAATTTTATCTATGAATTAATAATTATTAATTTATCACAATAAATTAATAAAATATTATGATCCTGACATTATTAATTTATAAAGATTTTACTGTATTATTGATAGTCTACATTGTTAGGAAGGAACAAGTAATTAGGCATACTTGCCAAGTATCACAAGAACAAAATTGATCAGGAGATCTTTTCTGGTGGTTAAATGAAATGTGACTCACGTGAGGAAGCATCAGCTTCAAACACATGTCTACAGGTAAGTGTATTTATAAATCAGAAGGAGTTCTGATTAGAAAGTTCAAGGATTGGTCGTGATGCAGACACTAAAGTGTTACTGGATCCCCAAATACAGGTAAATGTATTGAGTGTAATGGTTTTACAGCTGAAGAAGGTTTGTAACTAACTCAAGAAGTGATACGAAGTGTCGGTAAAAGGAAGTTTCAAGTGTCCTGGTTCAGGTACTGAAAAGAGACTGGTCTTGAATTTACTAGTTATAAAAATCTGCTCACAAAAGGGCATGTTTAAACATGAAGATCTGAATGGAAGGTTGTGTCGAAAGTCTTCCCAGCATGATTGGTTAGGAAGCGTGTTCCATCAGTGAATCAAATTGAACATGAGAAGAATCAAAAGGATGTCAAAGGGAACCAAGTTACAGAGTGAACAAGGATCAATTCAATCACTGAACAGATTCATTGCTGAAACAGAAGTCAGAGAGGAGGCTGTGTGGTTGATAAACTCATCCGCAGTCTTGTTTATGGAGGTTCTGTTGGTTAAACAAGTTACAGTAAAGTCTAATCTCAGTACCGTGGTGGTTTGAAATTGGTTACATGAGAATTAAAAGCAAACGTACTTCTGCTTTTTTTG